GTTTTCAATTTTAATATCGGAATCCTTTGATAATATGTCGCGGCATCTTTCGGGCGACTGTTTGTTGCGCAAACGATGAAATAAAGTTGGCTGTATACAAATTTATTTAATTAAGTACGTGTTTAAATGCCTCATAAAAACTCACTTTCGACGACGTCCAGCTAGTTGGATCTTTCTCGCGTCTTATATAGCTTCGTGCAACGTGTAAACATGGCCTTGTCCTTTATTACGTTGCGCTCGCGAAAGGAAAAGGGTTGAGACTCTAGTTGAACAGAAATCTCAAGTAGCGTTTGCAAAACACCAAAAAAGAGCGCTATATGCGCTTTTTTAGAGCTTTGTAGGCGCTGTGTGCTATTTGAGATTATTCTTGCGGCTACACAAAATACACCTACTTGATAAATACACCGACTTCCACCTATATCTCACGATCTTGCGCGATGAAAAATACGACCACTAACTAAAATAAACACAATCTCGCGCACGAGAGATGAGCAACATCGGTGCGGTGCTCAATGAGCAATGAAAGTTCAATCACAGTTAATTACAGATAGTCTCGAGAGCGAAATGTTCTTTCCTGCGTAGACCGTCTGTTGGGAAGTGACGGCAATGACGGATTCGCGTTACGACCTCGTGGATCTCTAATTACTGTACACGATATTAGCTATCGCAGACATGAATCATTGCTATCAATGAAATAGAACGGGCGCGCCTTTGAACGAGCTACTGAAAAATTGAAAGAATGTTAATAACTTCTCTTGCTATTACTTAACCACGTACGCGGCTTATAAAGGTGAAGAACTAGTTCTTAATCGAAAGTGTTTGTGTTAAACATACGCATGGGATCGTCAACGTCAAAGTTTGAACGTTAGATTAATTAGCAATGATAGAGTAGGACTTCATGTATAAGCTGAAAACTATTTTCGCATATCAAAGGGAATTAGGTGATTTAATTACTCATGAATACGTATCTCCAATTAAATAAAAAATTATAGTTTATGCAAAAAATATCTAACGAGAAAAACGTATTAATTTCTAAAAAACTTTTTAACATATCCAAAATTTGAAAAGATTTATCTACGAAATTATTTATTTATATTCATAAATTTAAAAAACGGAATTATTTTTTTATTATACTAATTGGACGTATCTCAATTTTGTAGTAATTTAATTATTATTAATTCTTAAACGCTACACTACGAGACCAACACACTGGCATACTAAATTAATTCCATTATTTATAACTTTTATGAAAATGAACATATTGTAAACACTTTCAATTAAAACGTCAGATATCAGGAGGCGCGGTGGCATCTGTCATATATTTTTGAAGTTTAATACATTAAAAACATCTTTTTTATATTATTATGAAGGAATAATACCATAAACGAGACGCTACAGCGTATCCTATACAGCAATGCTGGGATTTATTTGCACATTTCGACCGATTTTCAACTTGGTTCCTGCTGCCTCTTACTTCACTAACTCGCGCACAGCCTAAATGCCGATCGGCATTTAAATGGGCATCAAATGGGCGTCAAATGGTCGCTCAATGGGCGTCCCATGGACATCAAATAGGCATCAAATGGGCGTCAAATGGGCATCAAATGAGCCTCAAATGGGTTTCTTTTTATTATTTTTTTGAATATATTTATAAAATTTTGCATAAAAATATTACAAAATATACTTGACGCCTTTTTTTACATTTTTAATGTCTTCCGATTGAAGAATATAACGATACCAAGTAAATGTATCTTTATTAATGTATGTATCTTTATTAATAAAAAAAACGTTATAAGCAATGAAAAAAGCATTGGAAATGACTTAGAAAAAGAAATTCGGATATGTCATAGAAAAATTAAAAAATATTTTATTTTTTATAATGGTTTTTTTGCAAGCTGTGATGACAATATTTCATTCGATGTTATTCTTCAAGATTTGAACGGATACATGGAGACTTACGAATGAAAAAGCTATGAAAAACCTTCCAATTTTACATTGGCACGTTTAGCTATATAAGTAGCAACGATGCAAAAGTACGAGAGAGAAAAAAAGATCAATTTATTGGCTCATTTGCAGAAATATGAACATTTTGTGAGTATGTGGCGTCATCTGAACGGAACACATTAATACTTGAATGGAACTTAACAAAGATTCTCAGTTGATAAGTTTTCTGCCCAACAATAACAATTACATATAAACAATGAATAAGGAATAATAATTAAATTTCGTGACTTAGTTAATGTTTAAATTAAAATAGCCTATATTGAATAATATAAGTGTACAATATTTTCTGCATAATTTTTAAATTATTAATCACAAAAGTGACGACATATACGTGATGGAAATTTGCATTATTGGATTAAAAACAAAATGTTTTTGCTCTAAAAATAGTTTTTTTTTTAAACAAAATACTTTTGCTCTAAAAGCAATTTTTCATTTTCATTGTAAAATTCTTTAATGATTTACCTCCTCATTTAATTGTTTACTGGATCTAAATACAGTATGGTACAATTTCGAACGTGGTACAATTCTGAACGAAACAAGATTTGAATTAAATTTTCGAAGTTTAAAAAAGATGTTTACCTATTTAACATCCTTCAGTACTTTTCACACAATAAGAGAGTTACTAAACTTAAACCTTGAAAATTGGATTCAAATTTTATCGTTCAGAATTATACCATGTGTTCGAAATTGTTATCACCTTATTTGTAAATCCTATATAAATCAATTATATTAAAGAATTTTATAACAGATGCAAAGCTGCTCCTTCTGCTGAATACAATTATTGATGCATTCGTTTTGCGTAGGATGTCTCTTGACATAAAATTCGTACATAGCTTTTTACACTGCTCGGAAGCACGAGAGGATACAATACTAAATAATAAACGTAGAAATATTAGATTTTACGTTTTTCATCGAATTCCATATTAACCGCGTGAAAACCGAACCGAGAGGGAATAGTCGTGACAACCGCAAATATAAAACATTACAGTACAGCAATTTTCTTTTGTGCGTGGTGACGTCTATGCACGCTTCATACGGATAACGCGAGCAAAAACTTGCGTGCGGCATAGACTGCAATATTTTCGCACTTGTCACGTCGAGAGATCATAAAAGCTGAAATTGTCTGCGCTTCTGCGTGAATAACCGCAAGACAAGGCAACCGCAATATATTGCCCCTCAGTCAGCCAAGTTATGACAGCTTTTAACACCTCCTGCGGACGCGATTTAAACGCGATTGTTCGCACTGGTGGATTTGCCAGGCGGGTGTAACAAATGCAGAGAGTTTTTATTTTCTGCAGCAGCTCTATGAAAACGCAGTTTGCAATCCTTCAGCAAACAGTAACATCTTTTTTAAATAAAAAGTAGAATAAAGCGGGATAATGTTATTTTTCATATTAATAATCAATCTTCTTATTAATTATTCTTATTAATTAATGAATAATAATTGTTCTTATCGTTTTTTTGATACAGAGAGAAGGAAAAAATATAAGAATATTTTACATATATATAATTGTAATATATATGTAATATAATACTTATATACAAATGTTTTTATATGAAAAATTTCTTACCGAGACGTTGCGTTTGTTACGAAAACTTATTATAAGATATACGTGATGAAAAATCGTATATATTATTGGACTATATGAACGAAAACGCTTTTTGCTTTGAAAATGTAAATACAAATTTAACACGCATCTTTTAATATAAAGATACAAATTATGATCTTTATATCGAGATTACAATATGAATGCTCAGCTTTCTGTATGAAATCATCAAATTGGTTACGTACCTAAAAAATAAAAGTAAAAACATTGACTGCCCATTGACTGCCTGTTCTTTATTGTTCCACATTGCCGGCAAAAACATCGAACTACGAAAGAATAAATTTTTGTATTTTTAAACCGAGACACTCGTAATAATTTATATCACGCAAATTTTACTTTTAATTTAATTATATATTTCATAATTGCCGAGCAATTTAAAGAGTAACGATTCTCGATATATTGAAACGACGAATCAATCGCAAATAAACAAAAAGATCAGGGCCCCTATTCTTGCAAACAAACGTATGTGAAAAACTAGGGATATACTATAGTATACGTAACATATACTATAATATTTCCCTGTTAATATCTTTAGATTTTAATCGAAATTTTATCTAATAAAAGCGGATCAACCTTGTAGAAGCTCTCAACCACTCCCGCCAGTTCCGACCAGCGATCTTCGCACTGATTGGATGATTAATTCGTGAGAAAAAATTTAATTTGCACTGGGTCAGTTTTCATTTACCGAATACAATAATCTTAACGCACTGATACAGTGCGCACAAGCCATACATAGTAGCAATTTTTTACTACATATGATTTTAATTACAAATGCTCCCCACTATATAAATATGCAAAAAAAATTATAGGTATCCATTTAAAAAAAAACTATGTTAACCTACATAACTCGAAAAAGCCACGAGTAGGAAAAAATTTTTACGTGCACTTTGTAGCTGATTCGGAGTCCTTCAAATCTCTTATTAAACTTTCTTGTAACTTCAACCAGTTGCGAGATATTTGCTCGGACATTTATGGACGAACACCCCGTATACATATACATATATTTATAATATTGTATTACAGGGTATCCGGAAAATCGCCCGCAATACTTCGAGAAGTGATTGGGGACTCAAAAAGAAGGAAAAGAAGCTATATAAACATAGGTCTGGAAGTCGTTTCTGAGTTATAACCACTTTTATGTTAAGAAAATTGTAATTTAGTTTTCATAATCACAATCATAATTTATTTCATAACGTTTTAACATAAATAACTATATTTCGGACTGTTTTGGCGTTACCCAGGATGCACCACATGGAGGCATAGTCCGCTTGGCATCCCTCTTTTTTAATCTTTTTTATTTAAAATTTTTTTACTTTACTAAAGGGACTATGCCAAGTGGACTATACCTCCACGTGGTGCATCCTGGGTAACGCCAGGATAACTTTACTATTAAGGGTATGATACTTTTACATAAAAAGTATTATACCCTTCTACACATTTGATGGTTGTTTCCTTGGCAGATTTCAGGATATTATTCTCAGTAGTATTATTCGTAAATTTGTCAAGTTTTGCGGCAGTCGGCATGTTGAAACTGTAAATGCTATAAAAAAAATACCAAAAAAATATTAACATAAATGAAATAGATACACGAAATACTTCAGCTCTAAACAAGTAATTAATTTCACATACGCGAACTATTTGAACAGACTATTCTATTGCTACATAACACTGAAAATACTTAATAATTGTGACAATTATTGATATTAAGAATCACATTACGGACAGGTGTGACGGAAAGATAAGAGGACATACTCTTTACTTAAATCGATGCGTTTCTCTTGTGCATCTGTATCAAAAACTTTTACATCTTTAATATCATCATTCAATATAGATACAATATCTTTTTCATCTGTATCCGAAACTTGTACATTTTCAGTATCATTGTTCAATACAGATACAGTATCTTTTTCATCAACAGTCTTCGCATAGGCAACAAGTTCAGTATACGACGGTATGCCGGAACTGTAAATACCATACCGAACGGTATCATTAGTATGTCCATTTCATTGAAACAAAATAAAATTAGAATCTTATTTTTAAACCATACATGTGAGAACACAATCAATAGTAGAAATTAAATGTCTATAATGGTCGAAGCTGGATCTTTAATGCTTAAATAATTCAATGTGAATTTTATATATATACTGTATATGTACATATGTAAAATATATACTATATTTGTAGTTATTCAAACTGCGCGAATTGGTTCTCTGAGCTTATAAACGCAATTAAACTACTGTAATAATATCACGAATTAAATTAAATTGACAAGCAATTTTTAATAATTTGATGCTCAATCAGGTATTATATTAGAAAGATGTTAATGTGTTGAAAAACTGTAAATAAATTTATTTACAATTACGAGCCTTGGAAGTCTAAAGGCTTAGGACGCTCATACGGAATATAAGAGATTCGGATTGAACTCCTAGCCAAGGTAATAATATTTTTCGCAATAAAGTTATATAAAGTTTTTAGTACATTAACATCTTTCTAATATGATGCTTGATTGAGCATCAAATTATTAAAAATTGCTTGTCAATTTAATTTAATTCGTGATATTATTACAGTAGTTTAATTGCGTATATAAGTTCCGAAAACCAATACAGCGTGTAGTTTTAATAACTACAAATATGGTATATATATATATATATATGAATGTACATATATAGTACATATGTATATAATTCACATTGAATTACTTAAGCATTAAAGATCCAGCTTCGACCATTATAAGTATTTAATTTCTAAAATAAAATAAAATAAATAATTTTCAGAATAAAATTTATTAATTTCACTCTTACATCATACAGCGATATGAGACATATTTGATTAAGGACTAACAATACATACCAAAATGATTTCTTTGTAGATTCATCAGCGGTACAGGATTGGTGAGACCAATATCGCTTTTGTCGTATATTTGGTAATTCCAATAATTCTGTTGGCACAGATCCTCTCTTCAATAGATATCTTATACGAGGTTTCACGAGTGTCGATTGTGACTTTAGCACGCATTCTGGCTTAAAATGTACCCCACATACTCTTTCTGTAAATAATTTTTTTTTTACAATTATTGCAATGACAAATAAACCTTGTAGATACAATTTGAAGATGTATTATAATGTTTACCATGTTTGATCTGATGATTGAGGTCTTTGCCACAAGCTTCAAGCCATTTTCGACGTAGGTCAGCATCTTGAGGAAATGAATAAAATACCACATTGTTATAAAAGGCACTAGAAGTACGATTTTTGCAATTTTTAACGCAGCAAGTCGGCATGATGTCTGAAACACTTTATTTGGTATATTCAGAGCTAGACCGTGAAAAAAATGTCAGGCGATCCACCGGTGCCGGGACTTGACTTGATCCGAAGCCAGTGATGCGATTTCCAATCCGAAGCCTCGAAGTCGTCCAAATTAATAAGCGTACCGCAGTCACATAGCCCGACACAGGAGGAACTCTTTTCTGACTTCCTCATATAGTATATATCTTACAAATCAGATAATCTGTAATTATTACATATTGCATCAAGCTAAAGCTTTCTATTATTTATTCAGCTACTTACACAAATGCCCGTAATTATGTAATGGGAATTTTCTTTTCAAAATCTCTGTATACGCTACCCAACTTTCACCACCATCAATTCACACGTTCACAATAAACAAACGTGCCATCCAAGCGTCAGTGGCCTTAAGGTTTGTTCGCGTCGCAAGCTCCAACGTGCTCCAATATGCTCCTACTCACTCTGGGTGCATTCGGGGAGAACACTATTAGTGCTATTTGTATCCTTCTATCTTCATTGTTTATTAAACGTAAAACAAAGATAGATGGCACAAATAGCGCTAATAGCGCGCTCCTCGAATGCGACCTCTATCAAGTTGGAGTGAGTAAAAAGCTATAGTAGGAGCATATTGGAACATGTTGGAGCATGCGACGCGAACAAACCTTCTGGCTGCTTCGCTCGCTCAGCGCCAAAGCTGGCTAAGTCCGGATCTACAATAGGTGTTTTGAGACTTAAGCTGTAAGAAATTGACCAATTACAGTCGAATCCAAGGGGAATAATCGACTGTGATTCGCCCTGTGATTTCTTATGGCTTAAGGCTTAAAACCCTATTGTAGATCTGGGGTAAAGATTCTGTACCAGAGTCTGGAGTCTGGACACGAGAGAAGTAACTTTTGATTGGTCCATCGTTTGTCGGCAACTCCCGCTCCAATTCAAACTTC